AAATAAGCTCTATTAGTTAAAGGCAACAAAGTACCGTTTTGTTTATTGTTGTTGTGGCGTTATTGACGCGGTGCTTTCTGCTGTCTCGTCATAAAACTTGTTAGCCAACTTTTCATGCAAATTTGACTTAAAACAACGTAGACTGACGAGTGTGTTGGTTGAGTTGAGGAACACCTAAAGAGTAAGACACAGGTGGCACGAGAGGCGGCGTACACTTTCTTCCAATGAGAGGAACTGTACGTCAGTCCCTCGATGTCCCACATCGGTGTCTTATTCTTTCGGTGTTCCTTGACTAAAAAATGTTTATGATTTTCAATAAAGATGACTAAAGGTGTAATTTATGTTTGAATACGAAAATATACCCTATTGAATTCTATCTCAGTAATTCCTAAGTTCGCTCCCCCGTCTCTGTCCGATTCCTTGTAAGAACTTCCTCACCAGAATGGGTTTGTGTAGTCCCTACTACGTGAAACATGTCTAAAAAAAAAAAAAAATACTTATGGCTTGACATCAGGTACCGGAATATAGCATTGCCATGTAGGAAAGACATTTTCAACAATAAACAAATTAGCTGTGGTACCGCACTAGCTAAATAGCATATCTACAGCTTCAAGACGAACCAACTTCCCGCTGTGTCTAAACCGCCATACGACAAAGTTATACGCATCGGGGCACAAAGCGCGATATTGTTTTTCTAGTCACACTTTAGACTGGACGGGCGAGCGCTAATTTGAAGCCCAAGTTTCAGCGGCCATGTTCTGCAATTCAAAATTAAAAAAAAAGCTTCCTTTTTTATTTTTGTGTGACGATGCTGGAGGAAACTTTGTAGAGCAACCCCCCCCCCCCCCCCCCCACACACACACACACACTTTTTGTTTTGAGTACACACATACGCATTGACTAGTGGTAACAAGTTGCTCACAATCGTACACCGACTCATATGTCGGTGACGCTATGGCTGTCGAAACCTTTGCACGACCTCTTCGTTGCGTGCACCGCATCCAAAGTGGTCGGGACACGGGAACCGGCGCGTCGCGCTATTGACCGGGCTTTTCGGCGAAGCCCCGCGATGAATGCGAAAGCGCACCTCGCACGGACGTGCTCGGACAAGATGGCCGCTGCCAGCGTCGATAATCACGACGATGATGAAAACGAGGGACGAGTTGTCCGGCCAAGGTCAGAGAGAGGCGAGACGACGTGACTCGTGCCCTCGATTTCGCCCCCGCGAGAAAGCGCAGAGGTCCACCGGTTCCGCCGGTGAGGTGTCTGTGGCATATGCCTGGATTTTAGAGTGTGCCCAACTGCGCTTCTTTGGGGTCGCGTGTTTTATGGGCCGCCTTTGCAATACACAAGCTGTGAGGAGGTGTAAAAAGAGGAACGTCTCCTAGATGAGAAGGCCTTATAAGGCTGAATTTTCCAGAGTCACTAAAAAGTAAAGACCATTGCTTGGCACAGATTAAACACGAGACTCGAGAGCTGCTTCAGTGTTCAGCTGGGACTCGTTGACTGAACACGAGTTCAAGCCGGACGCTGACGGAGCACTCGCGTTCAACCTATGAACCTACGATGGTCTTCTTTGATGACGCAGAAATATTCAGCACTAAGGCTTCCTTATTTTACGATGTGTAGGAAAGCGTCAACAAATACTTTACTCGGAGAATACATCCTACTTCGCTCATTTGCATTAGACAGCATGACTACAGCACCAAATAATTCTCCCCGAGCGGCTTGAACACGAGTTCAGGCCGCCGACGTACCGAGACACCGGATTCGCCAAGACGTCTGCGCTATGTAGATCGGTTTCCACGACGATAGATGGCGGAAGCTACCGCTCCCAAGTCGAAGAGAAAAACCCCGAGGTTGCGCGCTTCCAGCCATTCCACATACGCAAAGCTGTTGGCGCCAAGGAGATTGGATCTTAGCGGAGTAAGATATATATTCCCTAGTAGAGTATTTGGCGTCAAACGTGTCACAGGCTCAGGTTCAACCTCTCCGCTCGCTCTCCTCATCCCCACGTGGCAACTCACGCACGCGCATGAGCACCTGCAGTGTGCGCAGGAAGTGTCCGCCATTAAACTGCAAACGCTCTCGATGGTTTGAGTTGCTCCCTCTCTTAAACATATAGGCTCTCCAACGGTGTCGGAAGACAAGAGGACCGCTGTCGGATGACGGTCCCTCCGGGCCGCACCGTCGTTGAGGTCACTGCCCAGAATTTAAAGCGTCGGCGGAGCGGCCGACGTCATAGATGTCAACCGCACCTAATTTGAACGTAGTTTTGTTCCGTCTTGCTTTTCAGTCACTGTCAAGCGATTACGTGATATGTTGATTTAATCACAAAAAGCAAGAGAAATATTTTCATTCTTGGGCGGAGTTGTTACGCGTACCATCAAAATTTAATGACATTACGTAGAGTTAGAGATGGCTGTTGGTGTTGGAAAGAAATATGACAGGGATAGAGAGGATGTACAAATGTTATACAGCTAAACGGAGTTCTCGTTACGCGAAGGGGTCAGAATTAGACGGCTCTGTAGTGAACGCACGTAGGACCTGACACGTTTCATTTGAAACAATCAATATTTACTGTACTGATTTTACTCAGAAATGAATGTCAGCCTAGAAGCACGGAATCTTGTCAATTGTACAGTTCCATGCATTGTATATGGAAACTTAGTTCGCATATCAAGACTTGGATACCAAAACATGGCACGTAATGCCCTCCGAACTAGAATGCACCGTTCCTGCGTTTTTTTTTTTAAATTTTATTTGGGGAACGTCGTTCTATAAAAGGGTCTCACATGTCTGAATTACTTCCGTTTTATGACGTCACTCTAGCCTATCATTGTTCTGCGGACAACAATAATTTGATCGTCGTTCAGTCTTGCCTGAGTGGATTTGAATCGTCGCATACACAAATTCTAAATAAGAAGGAACGCTCCGTTGCGACTTGATGGAACAGAGAAACCACGAACGGCCGCAGCAACTGGTGCATTCAGCCCATAGCAACATATCGTAACACTCATAACAAGTTGAAAAAAAAAAAAAAAAAAAAAAAGAAAAGAAATACTGTTGCAAAACAATTTAGCAGAAATGCAAGGACATAGTTCGGAGATTCTACGGACTATTGTCTTCAACTAGAACAAATACAAAAGGTAAAAAAAAAAAAAAAAAAAAAAAACTAAGTATAAAAGCTATATATGACCTCGCTGCGCAGTCATTCGTTCAGCGAGAACGGATGCAAAGGAGTCTTGGCCGATTCTTGCGAAAAATTCCTAAGACATTATATTTTGTTTAAACATTTTATTGTTATTTTAAATTATATAACATTTGACTTGCGTTTCAATCTAATTAATGCCAATTAGGCGAAATTTTGATAGTCACTGATTAGCCTTAAAATTGGTTCAACACATCAAAATACACGTCTGAACTAGTAACCGAAGTATCAAGTCACGATCATTATAATGCAATTAAATGCAAATAAACCCTGGAGAAGGGAAACAAGAGGGACAAACATAAATCTCCAAGCACAGCTAGGTGACCGGTGAGCGTCTGAAAAAATCCGCCTGGTCCGGGTATCGACCATTACAGGTGGAGCGCTCTACCAACTGAGCTAACCAGAGGTTAGACGTCAGTAGAGCAAACGGGTTTTATCAGCTGCCACCAGTCTAACACGAACAAGGGTGAAGCTTGCAAATTTAAGGTTATAATTATAATGCAATTAAATGCAAAGGTGCAAGCGAGTGCAGGAGCTATTCTTGGTAACCGATACCCGGACCAGGCGGATTTTTTCAGACGCTCACCAGTCACCTAGCTGTGTTTGGAGATTTATGTTTGTCCGTTGTCCCTCTTGTTCCCCTTCTCCAGGGATTATTTTCGTCGTTAGTCACGATACATTTTTTTTTTTTTCGCGAAGTTACCGAAGTTATAGATTTGGTCTGAGAGGCTGGGAGGCTCTACAAGCTGAAAACGTACCGTCAGATGTTATACGGGGCAATGTAGGGGCAGCACAGATTTCTCCCCACGGGTTGCAAGAAGTTTGATGGTACGAAATGAATAGAGGGTATTCACTGGACGCCATATTTGAGGGCGATGTTTAGAGCGCATGCTCAAAACGAGCTCACATACATAAATAGACTGCTAGGACAGGCAGTCTTGATGGTGCGGAATGCACGTTGCAAAATAACTATGGAAGCCCGCCGGGCGTTCAGCAGTCACACCAGCTAAAAAAAAAAAAAAAAAAGGATACGCGAACCTTAATAATGTTTTTTTTTTTACCTTGTTTGTTTTACTTTCAAGTTTATACATGTGATGTATGACCACCGAAGAACCTTGGTGGTTGTTGGTTTTGACCATCATATTCCTTTGCTGTTTTCTCAATAGCTATTTTGAATTTAGAAATGATAAGTAGCACGGGCCGAAAATAGTAAAACATGGGTATTCCAAAATGTTTGAGAAACTGCCAGAGCTTCTCTTTAAGAATTAATAACGGATTCCTTTAACATGTTTGAAATGACACGACCTCATCGCTTACCATGCGGGAGCGGTGAGGAGATAATTTGCGTGTTGGGAGCTCGTGTGCTTTCAAGCATTATTAAAAGATTAATCTTTATTTTCTTGTTCACCTTGGTAACACTTCTAATTAGCTCAATATCTTGAACTCGCAGGTAGAGTCACACGGTTAACCGAAACACGCGACTACTTATTTTTCTAGCCTTTTTTTTTTTACAAGCTTAAAATTAGGTTAGTCACTTGGCGTCTAGCTGTGGTTGTAAAAGTTTCATGTTCTACACTAAGAAAGATTTTGACAAAGAAACGACGTAATTTTCGGGCTAGCTGAGTCTCACATGAAATGTACCGCGCCAGCATAGCAGACATTAATCAACCATGGAAGCTTTTCGTTTCAGTAAGTCTGTGTTTCGCGTTATTAAAAAAATCAAATGTCATCATAGTGCAGGAGCTATTCTTGGTAACCTTGAATGGTCACGTTGCCGCGTTCTTCACAGGGATTCCTTCAACTGGCCTCCCTGGCATGCCTGGTGCTCTGCTCTGCCTGGCCATCGCGGGCCGCTCCCGTCATGACCCTGGTCGGATCCTCGACCCAGGTCAGCGTACACGCCATGACCGACACCACCCACGCGCCGTCCACCACGGATGCCTCTAGCACTGAAAAGGCTGAACCGCGAAGCGACGACTCGGCCACAGTGGTCGCCGTGTCGGAGCAGGCTTCCAAATCCACTGAAACCTCCACTACGTCTTCATCGACGACGACGTCATCGGAAGTGACGTCAGTTCCCGCCGCGGAGGCACAGCAAGCCGACGAGAAAGAGGTGGTTCAAGTGACCGCTTCCTCTTTGCCGAGCTCCACACCTGCTCAGGTTCAAGCCGACCAGCCTAGTCCCGTGGCGGAAGAAGCCAAGTCGGATGAGAAGCCGCAAACCGAAGAGCCTGCCAAGGAAGCAGACGCCGTCAAAGAGAAGGTGGAAGGACGTACGGAGCAGGTATGTGACTGCACTCTGGCTGTTCATTGATTAGTGGAATGCAGCAACACTGCTAATAGAGGTCTGTGCTAATAGTAAATACAGTGGTTACCTTTCGTATAGCCACTGAGGACCTTTACAAATAGAGTGGGCGGTAGGTCCCGACTATCGATCGCCACGTTACAGAGCACAATAAGCTTATGTTCATTTGGCGTTCGAAGATATCGCGACCTCTAGCTCTCAGGTAGCGATCCTTCCTCATCCTACCTCTAGTACGTTATGATTCCGTAACACCGGGGATGAATCTCAATGTTCTCCCATTCGAATATAATTATCTGCCTTCATTGTAATTTGTGTTCTTTTCACTATGACTAAGCCAGAACAGTTGTCCTTACTAAAGAAAACCAGGTATGCTCCTGGAACTTGTTTTACAATGGGGCATTCCGGAACAATCTACGTAATGGCGCCTGTTATACCTATCTGGGATTAACATCCGCCTTATTCGCCTAGGCAAAACGACTCTCCGTATATTTTGTTTAAAATTCAAACCGCTTGGCTTTGTTTACTTTCAGACGGAGAAGCCGGCTGTTGAAGCCGTTCCAGAGCCAGCCAAGGAAGCTGTGGAGAAAAAGCCCGAAGAGGCTGTTGCGGTAGAGGGACAGGAGAAAGCCACCGAGCCCGCCCCAGAGTCCAAGCAGCCAGAGGCCAGTGACGCTGTCCACGAGGAACCCGCCGCCGTCGAGACCAAGACAGGCGAACCTGAGTCTTCCCCAGCCACCACTCAAGCCACCCACGTGTCTCCAGATGCCCCAGCGTCCCACGAGCCCACTCCTGTCGAAGGTCATGCAGCGATGGAAGCCCACGCTGAAGTACCCGCTGCTGCTGTCGAGCATTCCGAAGCCTCCACGGTAACCCAGTCCACCGAAGAGGTCTCGGCCCCTAAAGTCGATGTCGTCGCCGCCGCTGAGGAAAAGGACAGGGACGAGCCGGTCCAGTCTGAATCCGACCTCAGCGAGCGTACTGTCGCCCCTCCCGCCGAAACGGAACGCACAGAGGCCGTCGAGAAGCCCGCCGAGACCATGGAAGCCGAAAAGGTCACAACAGAAACTGCAAGTCATCATACCACTTCCGGGGGTGCAACATTGGTTGACCACGTGACCTCTACAGCTGCGCCGGAAGTCAAGGCTTCAACGGATGTGTCTGCTGTTGCTTCCAGTGGCACCGAATCCGCAGAGGCTCTCCCCAAGGCTGCCCTCGACGTAGAAAAGGCAGCTGAAGAAGTGCTGTCGTCGACCCACAAAGCTGAAGAGGTGTCCACGTCGACCCAGGCTGCAGTGTCTTCTAGTGCTTCAGAGGACACGTCCAGCGCGAGTCCTGCTGTAAGCGATGCCACGACGACGAAGGTTGAAGCGACGCCGGTAACAGAGGCTGCAGTCCCCGCAGCTGTGTAGATATTTCTACTGGTTGAGGGGGAGGAGCGAGTGATTGTCTTTTCCAGATTTTTTTTCTCGTCTTGTTTCGAGCTAATTTAGTGTTCCTTCTGGTGGTCGATGAGCACTCTCTGGGTCGGATCCTGCTCTCGACTCTTCTTGGTGAATTTTATTTTATCCTGCTGATTGCCTTCGGTTGTCAACTTTCACATTGTGTGGGAGCTGTTTATCCTTTCGTGTTTTTGTATTTGCTTCACCACGGAATTGATTCTTTTTGTGAATCTCTCAAGTCAACGATGTGCAAGCGCTTCTGATCGTGGGCGAACAAAATACCTGTTGTGGTTGTTAATAATAAAAAAAGAAAGAAACACGAGGTGAGAATAAAACAGTTGAGTACTTTCAAAACGCTGGATTGTTCAAATTTGTTCTGAATTAATGAAACTCGATGAAACTCGAAGGGCAATTTTTTTTCTTCTCCGCTCGAGCGAGTTTAGGGAAGTCGGGTTTTTCCATCGGCCGCGCAGTGCGGAGAGAAGAGCGTGGAGGCCCGACATCCCGCCAGTTAAAACGCGACGAAGGGAGAGCCTTCCGAGTCGTCAGCTTCAAATACCTGTTTTCAAACATTGCCCGCGTTATGCGCAATCCCACTACGGCAGTATCCGGTATCTACGCGTAATGTTGGATGGTTTTAGAAACTTCCACCGCTCTTACCCACTTACGTCACGGATTACCGCGAACTGGTGGCGCCAACCGTGACGGCTATGAGAATTGACCACGTCGCACAAACGTCCTCAGGGACTTGACGGCACCGTTCCACCCGCATTGCTCAACCGTGCTACAGCATATCGCTTTCGTTTCTTTGCATGCTGTGGGAGAAAAATACTTTTTTTTATCACCGGCCAAACCAATCACCAACGTTACTAAAACCCTCAGTTGGGAAACTCACACTTGAAACCTGGGCCGCTGGCGTCCACCGAGACCGAGCTAATTACGATAACAGCGCCACCGTTTAGCGACGAGTTGAAACATGAAAGCTGTATTAAATTGCTACTGCGACATGGCCCTGCGAGATGGCGCCACCGGCCCTTGGCCGACTCGACGTGCAGCCGTGCTGTTCCCGGAGTGGACGCTGCGGGAAAAATGGCGGCGTTGCAATCGCCATTAGCTCGGTTCTCGAGTACGGATCGGAGCCACTTTTTTAAAGCAGCCTCTATGGCAGTTTCCTAACTGAGGGGTTCTAGTAACGTTGCCAATCACGCACGTCAAATGCGTCATGATTATGCGTTTTTTTTTTTGTGCGTGAATGGTTCAGCTGGCGATAACAAACGCACAAAGGCAACGAGCGCCATGACGATGTCCTTTTTTCGTTGCGTGATTGGCTTCGGACTAGGCGTGAAACGAAGTAGAATTTCAGCTAGTTTGCGTCACGGATGACAGTTTGAAGGATGAGCGATGATCATATCTAACTAGTGACTTTCGAAGCACTTACATCGAAGCTTTTTCCTTCGACGGTTTCAACTTATGGCGGCTCGAGGTCCGTGAAAAACCTCTGGACAACACGGGTCGGCCTCTTTCCGTCGTAGGCGAAGACCGAACTGTGGACGCTGTGGAAACCTCGTTAATACTTCATCAAATAGGGACACGTGTCCTCAAACATAAAAAAAAAAACGAAAAAAAAAATAAAAACCGACAACAATAAACTCAAGAAGGCGAGACGTCGTCGTGACCTTCGGCACCGCTTCGACAAGGGCCGGACAAGTCGGGGTGTGCGAGGAACGCCACGAACAAAATTTAGGACACGGATTTGCAAAAAGAAAAAACGAAAGAGAGAGTGATGTAAGAGACGACGCGAAAGAGCTTATGCCGGTCACTGGTGCTTCCGCTGGACACGACTGGAGAACGGCGCAGAGGTTAAGGCTCCGTCGACCCCTTTGGCACGCGAGCAAGAAGCAATCACCCACGCATTAGCGGAGGCTGGAAGGTATTCAGCTTTGTACGTTCCTGGTTGTCACGCTACAGCAGGGCTCTCCAAATTCCGGCCCGCGGGTCATATCCGGCCCGCAAAGGTCTTCAGACCGGCCCGCGGTTGGTGGTGGTCCTTCCAATAAAGTCTGGCCCGCGGCTTGCTTCAAGCAGACCTGCTGTTACTTGCACAAGAAGACTTGCGCGGAAAGAAAATGGCGCCGAGACGCGCTCCAAATGCGCAAACGAAAATACCAGAAAAAATTGAAAAAAAAGAAAGAAAAACATGTACGGTGAAGACAACACTACCACATCTTTCAACTAGCAACGGACATATAGAAATTCTAAAAGTCGAGTCCCCAATTAAAGGCGGGAAAATAGGAAAGGGAACGGGACTCGATTGTCCCGCCTTTAATCGATTGCTCGCTTTTGCGCCGCTACTTGGAAGGTGTGGTTGTTATTCTTCCTCCTACGTGTTTATTCTTTCTTCAATCTTAGCCCGCACCGACACGCGCTTCGTCCATCAATACCAGAATGAACGAGAGAAAGGGCTCCGTAAGGCGGGTCCCCTCGCCACATTATTCATTGAACACTGCCATCACCAGCATCACAATTCTTAGTCCCTTGACTCGTGTGTAACCACTTTAAACTCCTTTGCATTCTCAAGCACATTGTGATTGTCCTCTGTCACAAATCGTATATTGTTAGCATTACTTTTATCATTTCCATTTGTCTTTCTGACTGCGCGAATGAGTCGAAGTTCCCGAGCCCTTTGATTTATTTATGCCTGAAGCCCCAAAACTCGTCAAACACAAAGTTGAGGCCGAAGTTGACGGAGCACGCCGATTGGACAGTCACGACGATGACTTCGCGTTTTTGTCGCCGACGGATCAGCGCTCTGCGAACTTTTGGCTTCAGCTTTGTGTTTGACGAGTTTAAGGCCCCTAGTGAGCTTTTTTTTTTTTTTTTGACCGCAATTGATGCTTAATGTCATGATTATCTAAATATTACATTTTAACTTGAAGGTTATGTATTCACCCACCATATAATTATTTAATACTTACTGCCAGATGCATTATAGTTTTAAATGCTTATTTAAGTTTATTTATTTCGTTTTTCCCCTTCAATTCCTCTTCATTTCCCCGCCCTCAAGAAGGCGACAGATCATGAATCGATAGCGGGTTGGAATGTTTATAACTTTGCGGAGGCGTACTAGTCTTAGCCTAGCCCAACTATGCTCGCGCAGACCGCCACTGATTCAGAATTAAGCTTCTTTGTCGCGGTGAAATTGCGAGAATAAAAGGGAACTATTTCTTTCAGTTTTGTCTTGGGAAAGCTTGATGATGTAATTGTGGGATTGAAACCACCCGCCTGACGACAGTCGAGCGCGGCTCATGGGCTGGGCACGAGAACTGCGTGAGCACTCGACTTCGGCTCGTAACAATCGATGTCTCGGCGGACACTCGGGCAGTGACTAGCAAAACTCTGAAACGTTTGGGGCTCAGCACGCGTTTTCTGCTTTGCCAACCCCAGCGCGTGGCTATGATAAACGTTGGCGGCATAGGATAGGTACCAGGAAACTTAGCCGCTTGTTCTGGCTTCGATTTCCCTAATTTGTTTTAATGACTGCCATTGCCTAGGAAAAAAAAAGAAAGAAAACAAACTAAGGGAACCTATTTCAGTTATTAAGGTTAGGGTGTGATTCTAAAAAGTATTTAGCGAAAGTAAATAAAAATCGTTTCATGACCCCTTTAAGGGACCATGAAATGAAGTTTCTACTGGGATAAATTGGGATCTTATTAATCGCATATCGTTGAGTGCGCCAAAATAAAAACTAGTAGACGAGCGTAGAAAGCCTAAAGCCTTCTTTTCGGGACAAAAAATTGCAAATATAGCGGACTATTTCGTACCTCCTTTCCTTCGAAATTTCTCCGCCTTTTCACTGTGGTGCGTCCGCGGTGCCACAGCACGTCAGCCGAACCCAGCTCACTCACTGGACACGAGCAGTGCGTCACTCGGACGTATGCGATCGTCGACAACCAATCCGTCGACGGATATTTGAATCCGCGTTCATGGCCGATTGAGTGCCGTGTCTGCATTCATCATAGCTTGAGAATGGCAAGTTCCACGGTGTGCTTAACAAAGCACGGTGGAAGCTCGGGATCGTCGCCTCCGGTGCCCAAGCACGTCACGACCACGTGATCTCTCATTTCGTTTTTGAGTTAAGGATTAAAGCCGAAAAGCAGAAGTTGGAAAATCATTTTGTGGTCCCTTTTAACCCGGCGTCTCAGTCAAGGAGTCTGGAGACCCCAGTCCTATGGAGCCAATGCGGATCGCAAGTTCGTCTGCTTCTTTTGGGTTGAGGTGACGTCAGAACGCCCAGCTTTGATTGGCTCTGATTGGAGGATAGTGGGCAGACCTCAAGGCAGCTTGCTTTGAGGTCTACCCACTATCCTTCCGATCGGAGCCAATCAGAACTCGGCATTCTGACGTCACCACAACCCCAGCAAAGAAGCAGACGAACTGGCGCTCCGCATTAATGAGCAACGCTTCAGCGTAAAGACGCTTCAGCCATCTCGATGCTCAAAAAATGAAAGACGTTTACAACTTTCTGTAACCTTGAATCGGAGCGCGGTTCTTGAGGAGGAGGAGGGGAGGGTACGGTGGCTCTATAGGTGTTACAACAAAAGTGGTCTTAAATACACCTCTTTATTTCGGGCGTAACGAATGTAAGTCATCTGTGTAATAGGAATATGTTTTGTGGTCTTACGTGTTTATGTAATGCCTCCATCATTTTCGTCTTAGCGTTCGTTTCATTTTGCAACCGGCCCCCGTTATTTTGAGTACAAGCAATTGTTGGTGGCTTCATTTGGTGCATTTGCTGCTTCTCGTATTTGACATGTGCAGAAACTTATGCGGATCGCAAGTTCGTCCGCTTCTTTTGCAGGGGTTAAGGTGACGTCAGAACGCTGAGCTTTGATTGGCTC